CATGTTTCTGTGTCTTTGTATTTATTGGTTCATCAGTTTATTTTGTTCATTAGATTCCACATGTGAGTGAGATCATGTGACACCTTTCTCTGGCTGTCTTACTTCACTGAGCATGATGCTCTCCAGTCCCCTCCATGCTGCCTCAAAGGGTGAGAGATCCTTCTTTTTCACAGCTGCATAGTATTCCCTGGTGTGAATGAACCACAGCTTTTTTTTATCCACTTCATCTGTGGATGGGCACTTGGGCTGTTTCCAGATCTTATCTATTGTAAACTGTGCTGCTAAGCCGCCTGCCCGGGTGCCGTCCTGGTGACCTGGTCAGTTACCCGTCAGTTACCGAGCTCCTCTCGGCCCCTCATGGTGCCCTGTCCAGCCGCAGGTCCTGGAGGCGGGCAGCGGGGGTACGTTCAGGAAAGAGAGTTAGAGACCAGTCAGGATCCTCCAGCCCAGGCTCCTTTGGCCCAGAGGATAGAGCGTCGGCCTGCGGGCCAAGGGGACCCGGGTTCGATTCCGGTCAGGGGCATGTGCCTTGGTTGCAGGCTCCTTCCTGGCTCGTGCCCTGGTCGGGGCTCATGCAGGAGGCAAACCGATTGATGTGTTTCTCGTACATCCATGTTACTCTGTCTTTCCCTCTCTCTTCCACTGATTAGTGACTTTGAGCATTTTCTCATATGTCTCTTGGCCATCTGTATGTCCACTTTGGAGAAGTGTCTATTTCGGCCCATTTTTTAATTGGATTGTTTGTCTTCCTTTTGTTAAGTTGTGTGAGTTCCTTATACATTTTGGAGATTAACCCTTTATCAATGTATTGTTGCCAAATATGTTCTCCTTTACAGTGGGCTCCCTTAAAAAAATAGTAAAAAGAAAAAAGAAAGTAAAAATATTGGCCCAGCCGGAATGGCTCAGTGGTTGCGCATCGACCTATGAACCAGGAGATCACAGTTGGATTCCTGGTCAGGTCACATGCCCGGGTTGCAGGCTCGATCCCCAGTGTGGGGTGTGTAGAAGGCAGCCAATCAATGATTCTCTCTCATCATTGATGTTTCTATCTCTCCTTCTCCCTTCCTCGCTCTGAAATCAATAAAAATATATTCAAAAAGAAAGAAAGTAAGAACAGTGCACTGCAGGGGACACGGAGGAGGGGTTTCCGGTGCACGGCTCTCTTCCTCTATGCTGCTTGCTGCATTTAGCACGGAGTGGGGTTCACATGCCTGCCTCCCGGCTTTGAATCCTTGGCAGTCTCGCCCTAGGCCCCATCCTTAGGGAAGGCTAGGCTTTCTTGGTGGAACTTTTGAGTTCGAATCTTCCTATGAGATGAAAACTGCCTTGTCCCCCAGCACGCAGGTCCGTTTTGGGTTCCTGGGGTCTCTTTGGATCCATCCCTTTGGTAACCGACAGTCACGTTAATAGTGATTTTCTCTGGTTTCCGTCGTGGTGCCTGGCCACACCACCATCGCTAGCTCTCCCGAGGTGCACTTTCCCAGAACATGCGGCCTGCTGGCCTAGGAGCCGATATTCCAGAGGGTCCCATGGCCATCGGCGTGTCCCAGTCTTCACGTGTTTAGCCCCAGTTTACCCACTGAACACCCGTCGTCATGGCTGCCGTGAAGAGGACAGTTACTACATTCACTAAACTGTTAGGAATGGATCGCCTTAGGAAGAAAGTGTTACGTAGAGTCGTCCTTGAGTGTCAGCCTGATTTCTTCCCGTATTCCTGGACCTCACTCCCAAGAATTCAGATTTGTTACCTTGCTGTTTGTTTGGTAGCTTATGTAGAGTTTTCTTGGCTGTGGTTACAGACGAGCGGCTTGAATTGCCTTAGACCGACGGGAGCTTTATCGGGAGGCTTATTCTGTACCAGGGGACGTGGGAGGGTGGCCGCCATCAGCAGAGGTGGAGCCAGGGCCCGACTGCTGCCCGCGGGCTGGTCCTCTCTGCTCCTCCGGCTGCTCTGTCTGCATCTTGGCTGCGTCCCTCAGACTGGCCTCCTTCCCCACGCAGGCGCAGGCCTGCTGGCAGCTGCCAGGCCTCCAGGTGCCCAGTGCCACCACTGCCGGGGGAGGGCTCTGCTCGTGTCTGCACTTCACTTTGAGAATCTTGGGGAGGGCCTGGGGTCATTCAACTCAGGTCCTCCGCCCTGACCCGTGCGAAGACAGGTCAGCTCTGGCCAGCAGGCGAGGGCGCTGTGAGGGGCCTGGCATGGGCAGGTGTGCGCTCCTCACCCAGGCCGGGCTGAGTGAGAGGTCGGCAGCATCTGTTTGAATCACGTTGTTTCACGGGTTTCCAGAGTGACCCAGGGGTGACCTTTCTCAGAGGAAGGGTTGGGTGCCATTTTCAGAATGAAAGAGGATAGGCTATGCAGGCAAGAAAGGGAAAAAAGTGTGCTTACCATGGTCGTGACTATACTTCAGGGATTTTAGACCGCTTCTAAGGATACTAGATAATTTATTTACATTTCAGGGGATATCACTGAGCCTTACTTAAAACTAGGAGGAGAAATTGCCCGGGTGAGGTGGGGCTAATGATGAATTGAGCATGGTGGGGGGAACTAGGAGGGGAAATTGCAGGGGTGAGGTGTGGCTAATGATGAATGCAGCATGGCGGGGGAACTAGGAGGAGAAATTGCCCGGGTGAGGTGTGGCTAATGATGAATTGAGCATGTGGGGGGACTATAGGAGGGGAAATTGCAGG